CTCCCCCTCCCCCCCCCCAAAACCCCCCCCCCTTTTTCCCCCCCCCCCCCCCCCCCAAACTTCCCCCCCCCCCAAAGGCCCCCGCCGGCCCCCCCCCCCCCCCCCTTTCCCCCCCCCCCTCCCCCACCCCCCCCCTCCCGGGAAACCCCCCCTTTTTCCCCCCCCCCCTTTTTTTTCCCAAACCCCTCCCTTTCCCTTTCCCCCCCCCCCCCCCCCCCCTCCCTAAAAATTTTCCCCCCCCCCCCTTTTTTCCCTTCCCCCCCCCCCCCCCCCCCCTTCCCCCCACTCTCATCCATCCATCCCGTGTACACAGATGCTCTAAGTCTTCTGACGGCGTAGGATTCACAGCAGTGTTTCTGGACAGCATCGTACGAGGGCATTTACTATCTTTGACTAGTATCTTTACTGCTGAATTGTATGCCATTCTTGCAGCACTTATCTGTATTGCATCTATGCCTGTGTCATCATTTGTGGTTGTCTCAGATTCCCTTAGTGCTTTACAGGCTATACAGAAATTTGATACACCTCACCCCTTAGTCCTCCGTATCCAACTTTGGCTACGCCGCATCTCTACCAAGCATAAAAATATTGTTTTTTGTTGGGTCCCTGGTCATGTTGACGTACAGGGCAATGAACAGGCAGACACTGCTGCGCGGTCAGCAGTACATGGCCTACCAGTTTCATATAGAGGTGTTCCATTTACGGACTATTTTGCTGCAATAGCTACCCACCTTCACACCCGTTGGCAACAACGTTGGTCTACTCTACTCGGTAACAAACTTCAGTCTATTAAACCGAGTATAGGTTACTGGCTGTCTTCTTGTCACCATTGCCGAGGTTGGGAGACTACTCTCTCCTGTCTCCGCATTGGCCATACACGTCTTACTCATGAATATCTCATGGAGAGGCGCCCTGCTCCTCTCTGTGAGAATTGTCAGGTTCCATTATCGGTCAGCCACATTCAGTTAGACTGCCCACTTGATCAACGAGCACTCAGAATTCACCTCCAACGTTGTCTTGGCTCCGCTGCTCTCTCTTTACCTTCCCTTCTCGCTGATGGACCCACCTTTCATCCGGACACTCTCATTGACTTTTTGACAACAACTGACTTCACAAACTCTGATGATACCTTCAGCCCTTTCTACCTCGATTTCTTGCTACCCTCTACCCTGCACTATCCCCTGCCCCGCTGTTTTCTGTAACCTACTGATCGCCCCCCCCCCCTTCTGCCGTCCAATACCCTCGCTTCCTTCCCTGCCCTGCAGCGCTGTATAGCCCTTGTGGCTTAGTGCTTCTTTTTTATTATAATAATAATTAATATTACTGATTGTGAAAAGGATTTAGGAGTTCTGGTTAGCAGTAATCTGGAACCAAGACAACAGTGCATAAGTGTTTGCAATAAAGCTAACATAATCCTTGACTTCATATCAAGAAGTATAAATAATAGAAGTCCTCAGGTTGTTCTTCAACTCTATATATCTTTTGTTAGGCCACATTTAGATTATGCTGCTCAGTTTTGTTCACCATATTACAGAATGGATATACATGCACTGGAAAACATACAAAGGAGGATGACAAAGTTGATCTCATGCATCAGAAATCTTCCCTGTGAGGATAGACTGAGGGCCCTGAATCTGCACTCTCTAGAAAGGCGTATAATTAGGGGGGAATATTTTTAAAAGTGCAGTATTAGAATGTGGGGCAGAAGTTTGTGGTTATAGGAGGGTGGGTGCAGGAGGAAAGAGGAGTGACTGGTTGATAAAAGAGAAAAAGGTAGCTTATGAGAGGTTTTTACAAAGCAAAGTGTTGTACGAAGATTAGAGTATATGGAGAGTAAAAGAAAGGTGAAGAGAGTGCAAAAGGAGAGCAGATGACAGAGTGGGAGAGGCACTGTCAAGAAATTTTAATGAAAATAAATTTTGGAGCGAGTTAAGAAAGTCTAGGGAACGAATGGATGTCAGTTAAAAACAGAGTAGGGGAGTTAGTAGATGGGGAGACGGAGGTATTGGGTAGATGGCGAGAATACGTATTTTGAGGAACTTTAATGTTGACGAAGAAAAGGAGGCAGTAATTTCATGCACTGGCCAGGGAGGTATACCATCTTGTAGGAGTGAAGAAGAGCAGGATGTGAGTGTGGGAGAGGTGCACGAGGCAATACGTAGAATGAAAGGAGGTAAAGCAGCTGGAACTGATGGGATCATGACAGAAATGTTAAAAGCAGGAGGGGATATAGTGTTGGAGTGGTTGGTATTTTTGTTTAATAAATGTTTGAAAGGGGAAGGTACCTAGGGATTGGCAGAGAGCATGTATAGTCCCTTTATATAAAGGGAAGGAGGACAAAAGAGATTGTAAAAATTATAGAGGAATAAGTTTACTGAGTATACCAGGAAAAGTGTACGGTAGGGTTGTTATTGAAAGAATTAGAGGTAAGACAGAATGTAGGATTGCGGATGAGCAAGGAGGTTTTAGAGTGGGTAGGGGATGTGTAGATCAAGTGTTTATATTGAAGCATATATGTGAACAGTATTTAGATAAAGGTAGGGAAGTTTTTATTGCATTATTGATTTAGAAAAGGCATATGATAGTGGATAGGGGAGCAATGTGGCAGTTGTTACAAGTATATGGAATAGGTTGTAAGTTACTAAATGCTGTAAAGAGTTTTTATGAGGATAGTGAGGCTCAGTTTAGAGTGTGTAGAAGAGAGGGAGACTACTTCCCGGTAAAAGTAGGTCTTAGACAGGGATGTGTAATGTCACCATGGTTGTTTAATATATTTATAGATGAGGTTGTAAAAGAAGTAAATGCTAGGGTGTTCGGGAGAGGGATGGGATTAAATTATGGGGAATCAAATACAAAATGGGAAATGACAGTTACTTTTTGCTGATGATACTGTGTTTTTGAGAGATTCTAAAGAAAAATTGCAAATGTTAGTAGACGAGTTTGGGAGAGTGTGTAAAGGTAGAAAGTTGAAAGTGAACATAGAAAAGAGTAAGGTGATGAGGGGTATCAAATGATTTAGATAAAGAAAAATTGGATATCAGATTGGGGAGGAGGAGTATGGAAGAAGTGAATGTTTTCAGATATTTGGGAGTTGACGTGTCAGTGGATGGATTTTTGAAGGATGAGGTTAATCATAGAATTGATGAAGGAAAAAAGGTGAGTGGTGCATTGAGGTATATGTGGAAACAAAAAATGTTATCTATGGAGACAAGGGAATATATGAAAGTATAGTAGTATCAACACACTTATATGGGTGTGAAGCTTGGGTTGTAAATGCTGCAGCGAGGAGGCGGCTGGAGGCAGTGGAGATGTCCTATCTAAGGGCAATACGTGGTGTGAATATTATGCAGAAAATTCGGAGTGTGGAAGTTAGGAGAAGGTGTGGAGTTAATAAAAGTATTAGAGGGCTGAATGCTGTATAGCCCTTGTGGCTTAGCGCTTCTTTTTGATTATAATAATAATTAGAGGGCTGAAGAGGGGTTGTTGAGGTGGTTTGGTCATTTAGAGAGAATGGATCAAAGTAGAATGACATGGAGAACGTATAAATCTGTAGGGGAAGGAAGGCGGGGTAGGGGACGTCCCCGAAAATGTTGGAGGGAGGGGGTAAAGGAGGTTTTGTGGGCGAGGGGCTTGGACTTCCAGCAAGCATGCGTGAGCATGTTAGATAGGAGTGAATGGAGACGAATGGTATTTGGGACATGACGAGCTGTTAGAGTGTGAGCAGAGTAATATTTAGTGAAGGGATTCAGGGAAACCGGCTATTTTTATATAGCCGGACTTGAGTCCTGGAAATGGGAAGTACAATGCCTGCACTTTAAAGGAGGGGTTTGGGATATTGGCAGTTTGGAAGGATATGTTGTGTATCTTTATACGTATATGCTGCTAAACTGTTGTATTCTGATCACCTCTGCAAAAACAGTGATTATGTGTGAGTGAGGTGAAAGTGTTGAATGATGAAAGTATTTTCTTGTTGGGGATTTTCTTTCTTTTTGGGTCACCCTGCCTCGGTGGGAGACGGCCGACTTGTTAAAAAAAAATGACTGAGGTGTATACATGGAAAACAGGAATAAATGAAGGAGATGTAAGTAGCGTGATAAAATTATATAGCCTAGACAAGACTCGCAGCAATGGCTTTAAGTTGGAAAAATTCACATTCAGGAAGGATATAAGAAAGCACTAGTTTGGTAATAGTTGTGGATGAGTGGAACAAACTCCCGAGTACCGTCATAGACGTTGTGTAGTTTTAAAAATAGGTTAGATAAATGCATGAGTGGGTGTGAGTTGGACCTGACTAGCTTGTGCTACTAGGACAGATGCTCTGCTCCTTCCTTGCTGTATAGCCCTTGTGGCTTAGCGCTTCTTTTTGATTATAATAATAATAATAATCTGCTCCTTCCTTAAGTGAATGTGACCTGACCTGACTAGGATAGGGCATTGGATTAAGCGGGTAGGAGTATTGCATCTGCCTCGCATGGGTCAGTAAGCCTGCTGCAGTGTTCCTTATGTTCTTATTTGTATATACCTGAATAAACATACTTAAATCACTGGGAACGGTTGAAGTCCCTTGACCTGTACTCCCTGGAATGCAGGCGAGAAAGATGCATTATTATTATTATTATTATTATTATTATTATTATTATTATTATTATTATTATTATTATTATAGACACTTGGAAATCTTAGAGGGAACTAGTCCCAAATCTTCACACGGAAATCACTCCAAAAAGACTCAGCAGGCTGTGCAACATCCCCCAATGAAAGCAAGGGCGCCACGAGTACGCTAAGAGACAACACTAAGTATTAGGGGTCCAAGACTGTCCAACTGGCTGTCTTCAAGAAGACACTGGACGGGCTCCTAAAGTCAGTACTTGACCAGCCGGGCTGTGGTTTGTACGTCGGTTTACGTGCGGCCAACAGTAACAGCGTGGTTAATCAGGCCCTGATCCACCACGAGGCCTGGTCATGGACTGGACGTGGGGGCGGTGACCCCAGGAACACCCTCCATGTATACTTCAAAATATGCTTCCCTTTCAAAAGATGTTATTACTTCATCAGATATTGGTGTTCAACAGACATCCTGTCTTCAACAGACGTTATATAACCCATTCAAAAGGTCTCACTGTCCAGAAACTATTTCCCCTTTACAAATAAACGACATCACTTCAAAATCTTGCCTTTCAAACGATGTCACCCCAAAATACAGGATATATACGTATACCCAGAGATGCATTTCTCTTAACGTATATATGCTGAGCTAATTTAATCCCTATTTTAGGGATTCAAATATCTAGTCTGGTGGTGAAAAAGTTACGTGCAACCTTAATGACCTTAGTGTAGTAGATAAGCTTTAAACCTAATTAACCAGTCCTTCAAAACGTTAACTTTCAAACGACCATCTCTTCAAAACGTCACCATCAACAGGCCAAACGCTGTAACAATTAGGAAATAAAAAAATTTCGCTGCTCTAAGTGATTGTAGGTCACTCAGAGGAGAGCGGCAGTGTGTGGCCAACCATCGCAGGGGGAGGACGTGTGTGTTGCCGCTCCGCTCATGTCAACACGAGGCCATTTTTCCGTGTGATAAACAACACTTCCAGTGATTTTAACTTTATCCGCGCGCGGATGAATTTCCTGGCAAATGGCGTGCTACAGAGAGTTTAAATGGGATTTGTCGCTCGCCACATAGGAAGGAGGTCCATGATATTAACCCTAGAAAAAAAAAAGTATGCAAGGTGGAAATTAACCTAGAAAGTGTGACAAGCGGTTAGCCCGCTAGTTTGAAAAAAGGTATGCGATAGTGTGAGCATGAATGGTAGTGGAGAGGCGGTGGTATCGCGGATGGTGTGCATATTCGCTCGAATGGTGTAGGCCCACTGGAAAGTAGACGTACTTAAAGGAGGGACCACATACTGGAAGGTTCCCATACTAGACCTGAAGGAAGGGTTATCTACTACACTCACTGGAAGAATCGCCTACTAGGCCCATTAGAACGACCATCTACTAGACCCACTGGAAGGACCACTTTGACCAACCAGATGGAGTGTCCTACTCCCCCTGGGAAAATTACTCGTTTAGACTAACACACGGGTCTAGGGTCTCTCAGGGTTCGTTACACAGCGAGCCCTGAGTTCTTTCTACACTGAGTACACTGGGTTCACTGAACACGATTTCAGTTAACAGCGAGTACATTTCGTATCTGGATTCATTGCCCAAAAAGTTCTCGCCATACCCGGTTAACTACACATCGGGTAAACCTAACGCAGGGCTCCACACCAAGTTCACTCCGTACTCGGGTTAACTCCACTAGGTTAACCTAACAAGATTCGCTTCACACAGGGTTCACCTACCCTGAGTTTCGTTGCAAACCGTCTTAACACTGGGCCTCACTAAGCCCGGGCTCCACTAACTGCTTGACGAACGCTGGGTTGCTGCACACCATATTCGCTACACTGGATTCACTCCACACCGGATTCATTGCACAACTGATTCATCCCATACCAGATTCACTTCACAACGGATTCACATCGCAAGACTGACTACACATCAGATTCGCTCACCACCAGATTCACACCACAACGGATTCACCCCATATCGGATTCATTTTTCAAAGGATTCGCCCTACACTGGATTAGCGTCACACCGGATTTGCTCCATACCGGATTCACTTCACCCCAGGTTCACCTCACACCGGGTTTACCTCACACCTGGTGCTGGTGGACATGTACCCAGACATCTCGTGATTTCTCTAAGCTGTGGAGATGCTCTGGACAACGCACTCTGTGACAGGTGAGCTTTTGATCTGTTGATTCCCTTTTGGTTCTGTGATACTCCAGTGATGCCTCACACGATTTTTCCTTTTATCTCGTGTGTTCCTGTTGAATTTCACCCATTAAACATGTACCCCACCTGCTAATCCGACAGCATCTTTTTTTTTTTTTTTTTTATGCTAACAGGCCGAAATGTACGAGGGGTGGGTTTTGCGGTGATATTTGCTGGGGACTTACTGACCCCAACCATCAGTAGTCATTTTTCACTCCAGAAATCTGACATTCTTCTACGGATTGCAGGGTACATTGATTCCCTGTTCACTGCTCTCTCTACTCGAGTGAATTTGCCCTTGCAGATCAGAAGCCCTGCTGCGAGAATAATGTTTCACGATTAGCGAAGGAGGATCAAGCCTCCAGGCAATGCAAAATGCCCCCAATTAAAAGTAGGGGCGCCATTGGTACACTAAGAGAAAACACCATAAGTGTCCGGGGCCCAAGGCTGTTCAACAGCCTCCCATCAAGCATTAGGGGAATTACCAATAAACCCATGGCTGCCTTCAAAAGGGAGCTGGACAGATACCTAAAGTCAGTGCCGGATCAGCCGGGCTGTGGCTCGGACGTTGGACTGCGTGCGGCCAGCAGTAACAGCCTGGCTGATCAGGCCCTGATCCACCGGGAGGCCTGGTCATGGACCGGGCCGCGGGGGCGTTGATCCTCGGAATTACCTCCACAACTCCATGTGCTGAATAGGCCATCCAGGTTTAACAATTCATATTGACATACAATAATTTGCCCCAGCACTTTATGAAGCAACATACCCTATGACCTAATAAAAATATCACGAGTAGTTGGCATTTCTTCCTTTTAAACACAAGAACGTTGAGTAATGCTGGTATCCAAGGTATGTTGATGGCCCAGGTTGCCCCTTTTTTCAGAGCCGAGTACACGTATAGGAAAGTGGCGTTCCAGGTTTACAATGTTTATAAGCAACAAGTTATACAGGATTTGGCAGAAAGTGAGGTTTGGCTCTCACTGTGAATCCCAACCAGTGCCTGGAGAGGCTAAATACAGAAACATACAAGGTCTGCATTAAAAACCTAACACAGAAAACCCAATTGAGCAACTATAGAGCGTAGATGGTATAAAAGAAGAAAACGGGTTACCGAATTGCTTAAAAACATAAACATGTCCCAACGAAGGAAAGATACACTTAGCCGAGATATCACTGTACAAATTGAGCAAAAGGCCATACAGGATATTGCAAGAAACCCAAAATATTTTTTTTCGTGTGCAAAATTCAAGGTAAGGACTACCTGTAGAATTGGACCATTAATGAGAGGAGACTCGTATACGAACAGGAAATGAACGAAATTCTAAAGGAACAGTAAGAATTAGTGGTCAGCAATCCACTAAATGACAGCAGGGTAAAGATTGCAGAAACATTTTTCAACATAACCCAAACCATCATGGTTTTAGAGCAGGACGATCATGCCTGTCACGGCTGCTGAACCACTATGACAGTTACGGAGGCGTTGGAAGACTACCAGAACGCAAATGTAATATACACAAATTTTTGCAAAGCCACTTGACAAATGTGATTATAGGGTGATTGTACACAAAATGAGTGCCATGGGTATTGCGGGGAAGGTAAGCAGATGGATTATCAGGTTTCCAACACAAGCAAAAAAAAAAAAAAAGTAAACAGAGCAAACTCCAGCATCAGCGAGGTAAAAAAAAAACTCAGTTCCTCAAGGTACAGTCCTGGCACATCTGCTCTTTCTCATCCTCATAGCAGACATAAGATATAAGCACCCGTCACAGTTTTGTATCATCATTTACAGATGACACTAAAATAAGCATAAAGGTCACTTCGGTAGAAGACACTGGAAAATTACGGGAAGATATAAGCAGTGTTTTCCAGTGGGCAGTGGAGAATAACATGACGTTCAGTGGGGTAAGTTCCAACTGCTTAGGTATAGAAAGAATGAATAACTCAAAAGAAACACTGTATACAACTCAAGAGGATCATCAAATAGAACGAGTGGAACACGTGGAAGACTTGAGGATAATTATGTCAGATAACCTTTCTTTTAGAGAACACAGTAAGACAAAAGTCACGACAGCCAGAAGGATAACAGCGTGGGCAATGAGAACCTTCAAAACAAGGTAAATAATGCCAGTGGTGACACTTTTCAAATCGCTAGTGCTCTCTCATTTAGAATATTGCTCAATGTTGACGGCCCCGTTCAGGGCAGGAGAAATATCAGAGCTGGAACAAATACCGAGATCGTTTACGCCCCGCATAGAGCTGGTAAAACATTTAAATTACTGGGAACGCCTTAGTCTTAAATATGTATTTACTGGTGTGTAGGAGATATATATGATAATATATACCTGGAAAGTACTTGAGGGCCTGGTCCCAAATCTGCACAGTCATAACATACTGGAGCGAGAGATACCTGAAGGGGGTTTCGGGGATCAACGCCCCCGCTGCCCGGTCCGTGACCAGGCATCATGGTGGATAAGAGCCTGATCAGCTAGGCTGTTACTGCTGGCCGCATGTAAACTGACATACGAGTCACAGCCCGGCAGGTCGAGTACTGTCTTTTAGTGTCTGTCCAGCGTCTTCTTAAAGACAGCCAGGGGTCTTTTGGTAACTCCTCTTATGTATGCTGGGAGGCAGTTTAACAGTCTTGGGCACTTTATACTGTGTTATCTCTTAGCGTACACCTGGCGCCCCTGGTTTTCACTGAGGGGATGTTGCATCTCCTACCAAATGTTTTGCTTTCGTAGGGGGTGATTTTCGTGTGCAGATTAGGGACTAGTCCCTGTAGGATTTCCCAAGTTTTTATTATCATGCATCTTTCTCGCTTGCATTCCTGGGAGTACAAATCAAGGGTCTTTATCTGTTCCCACAAATTTAGGTGCTTTATCGTACTTATACGTGTCGTGAAAGTTCTCTGTATATTCTCCAGATCTACAGTTTCGCCTGCCTGGAAAGGAACCGTTAGTGTAAAGCAATATTCCAGTCTAGAGAGAACAAGAGATTTGAAGAGAATCATCATGAGCTTGCCATCCCTATTTTTGGAGGTTTTCATTATCCATACTACCATTTTCCTAGCAGATGTGGTAGATAAATTGTTGTAATCTTTGAAAGTAAGATTCTCAAACATTATCACTCCCAGGTCCTTCACATTAGTTTTTTCGCTCTATTGTGTGGTTGGAATTTGTTTTATACTCCGTTAGTTTTAATTTCCTCGAGTTTTCCATAGAGAAGTAACTGAAATTTGTCTTCATTGATATACCTGGAGTATACCTAAAGAGGGTTTCAGGGGTCAACGCCCCCGCGGCCCGGTCTGAGACCAGGCCTCGTGGTGGATCAGGGTCTGGTCAACCAGGCTGTTACTGCTGGCCGCACCCAAACTGACATGCGAACCACAGCCCGGCTGGTCAGGTACTGACTTAAGGTGCCTGTCCAGCGCCTTGAAGACAACCAGCGGTCTGTTGGTAATCCCCCTTATGTATGCTGGGAGGCAGTTGAACAGTATTGGGCCCCTGACACTTGTGTTGTCTCTCAGTGTACTCGTATCACCCCTGCTTTTCATTGAGGGAATGTTGCATTTCCTGCCGAGTCTTTTGCTTTCATAGAGAGTGATTTTCGTGTGCAAGTTTGGTACTTATCCCTCTAGGATTTTCCAAGTGTATATTATCATGTATCTCTTGCCTGCGTTCCAGAGAATACAAGTCGAGGGACTTCAACCATTCCCAGTAATTTAGGTGCCTTATCGTACTCGTGTGTGCCGTGAAAGTTCTTTGTGTAATCTCCAGGTCAGCAATTTCGCCTGCCTTGAAGGGGACCGTTAGTGTACAGCAGTATTCCAGCCTAGAGAGAACCACCGATCTGAAGAGAATCAGCATGGGCTTGGCGTTCCTAGTGCTAAATAAATCCAATGAAAAGCAGGAGTGAGGGGTGCGGTGGGTACAATTGGGGAACACTATCAACATCCGTGGCCCCAGATTATTCAACATATTACCGGAAGATATTAGAAACTGCTGAAACAAGTGTAGAAATCTTCAAGAGGAAGCTCGACAAGTATCTTCACCAAGTGCCAGATCAACCAGGCTGTGATGGATATATGGGGCAACGGACCTCCAGCCACAACAGCCTGGTTGACCGGCTAGCCCCAGACGAGCCTGGCCCATAGCCGGGCTCCGGGGGTAGACTCTCAAAGCTCGTCAAAGGTATTACGGAAGATCCTGCGCCTCTCAGTGTGGTATATTTTGACATGTCAAGGTTCCAGAGGTTTAGATTTCAGAAAGGTTTTAAAATTACGGGGAAAGGAAGGAGCGTTAACTCTGGAGGGTTAAGTAACACGACTAACACCGGATGGTTAGTAACCCAGGATTACTCCTGATAACCAAGTAAGCCATTCAGTGTGACATATTTCTATTAGGGTCGTTTGATTGTTTTTATCAGGATGCGACCCACAAGTGTCGGGTAACACATAGATCTCTAATTCTATGTTAATAAAGGCAACTTGTTAAGAAACTTACCCAACGTCTCCACTCGTCCCAGATTCGATCTTACATCCCTCGGTAATGAGATGAGGGCGCTACCACGTGAGCCGCAAGGGATGAAGGCGTTTTCAACGAAAATTATTTAATTATTGTATAACAGAGTTTCTATTCGTTTTGAAGAGACTAGTTTTGTTGTACATTTTAGGTAGGCTTTGTGGTGTAAATTCGTTGTTGCAATAACTGTGAAATTCAATCTGAACATTGCTAAATAAATGTTTAACAGATAACCAAATTTAGAGTGAGCTAAGCTGATTACAAATTAGTAAGATTAGATCATTTTGTTAGTTTCTTAACAGACCGGCCGTCTCTCACCGAGGTGGGGTGACCCGACGGAGGAGAAAACACTTACACTATCACACATTCGATCACTGTCTTTCCAAAAGCGTGCTCACATTGCAATTCAGATAATCCTCGAAACCGCAATATCCCCACCTCCCCTGA